GTGAGTAAATCGCGTAATTTTAACAGCTTCGCTCTTTACTGAATCAGAGTTATCTTGTTCCGTTGCTTGTGTACTTTTTCTCATGCGAGATATAACTGTAACAAAAAACATTTTGACTGTGGCTCGCATGACTCGCATGGCTTGTCCCTTGGCTCGCATGGCTTGCTGTCTCGCAGATTTGCAACGCTCCAAGCTGGCCCCATGATTTTCAGCTTCTCTCTCTCATTTCCTTTTTTTGTGGCTCTCCTCCAAGTTTTTTTGAGGCAGCCTCTTTTTTTCTCAGTGGTGGGAGATTACTTTGGGGATTTTAGGAATGTTTGTGGTGTGTGGTCTGGTTGGTTCTATTGGAGTGATCTTCTGCAAGATGATTATCAGCCTGGATGACTGGACTGATATTCACCAAGTGATTAATACTTACTCATTTGCTGATTATCAGACTAGTCGTATGGCATCTCACTCAAAATCTAAGATTGTCATTTGGCATCCTTAAGAATCATTTAATGGTTACCTCAAATACAAGTGTTACAGACCAAAATAGCAATCAAATGCTCTAAGTCTATAGTTACACAGTACATTTCAGTCCCATTTCCAAAAATTCTGCTGTTAAAAATTACTTGCACCTTAGATCACCTATTTACAGTTGTATCATATTTTTGGTTATATCTCTGAGAATATTAGGAAACCTTTTACATATCAAACAAACCTGGTCTGTTTGATATGCTTGTATAATCTGAGACATGGTAATGCACAGACACATCCATTATATCAACATATCAGGAATTCTGTGATTGATGGCTATAGCACTATTATTTATTCCTAAATAAATGTTTTACAATTATTTATTTAACTAATGAAGCAATACTTTTTATCTAAAAAAGAACTATTTTGTATATTCCTTCTACTCATATTCTTGTTTGGGTCACCTACTTGGTTAGTTCCACGAACTCTGCACAATGAACCTACAATTGAAAGTTTCTTTTCCTTCACAATCTCTTTATTTATTTAATTTTTTTTTTTCATATTTAAAAGACTAACTTGTATTAGTTACTATTCTGTGTGAATTTAAATAAAAATTGACTTGACTTGACTTGACCATTGTGCATAACAGCATATACAAGGTATGAATACATGAAATATCAGGTTAAATCTAGATTTTGTTTGAAGAAGAACAATTGTTTTGAAACAGTGTGTATCTTTTTCTATTTTTTTTAGGGCTATGGGGCTGCTAAAACTCTGTACATATCAGATTCAGATAAAAGAAAGCACTTTGAATTATCACTGAAGGTATAACAATTGTTTCAATGTTCAGTTTGGTGTAAATGTGAATTTTAATTCCAACAGTTCAAGCACCACAATAAAGATTGCAGAGTCCAAGTATGCATAAGTGCTGTAGAATTCCTTGTACTGTATATGCATCAAGCATTTTGTAGTTCTCAGGAGCTATAGATATGCATCATGTAAATTAAACACAAATGATTTTGATGATTGAGTGTGGAATGCACAGAAATTATATCTTCATGCATTTTCTATTAGTCAACAGTGGTTTCATTATTGGTTAATGCATGCTTGAAGGCAAAAGTGTTTTTGATTAAAGACTAACATTAAGTTCTGGCAGAGAAAAGTTTAAATTTACTTCAAGGCTGTGGTCTAGCAGTGCCCAGTGGCCCCTAGCACCTTACTTTTTCTCTTGGGCAACTCAGGAATAGTTTTTTCATAAAAAAGCCTATGCTGGGCACCCTGGATTTCACAGTTACAGGGCACTGGGCCCCATTCAATTTTCCCTAAAGCACAACCTTGTACTTTGGGCCAAAGGAAGTGTATGAAATGAACTACCTTGGTTTGTGGAGTAGGACAATCTTTAAGATGGTTATACAAGATGGACTGACAATAAATTCTTTAATATACAATTACAGTTCTCTCTTTCTCATTTTAATCAATCTTTTTTATTGTTGTTTATGTATTATCATTTTTTTTCATTTAACATATAGTTACTATATCCCAATGGTGACCATGTTGGTACGTTCAATTCAAAAAGAATAAAGGTGGGTTTTACAGAGAAGAGAGAATTTATGCTATAATAAGCGTATTAATAGGAATTAAAAAAGATTAAGTCTACACTCGAGCCCAGAGAACCATGGCCACTCTCATGGGATTCTATACCAATGCTGGTTACCTTTCAACATTGTACATTGGAAATGGCTTTCCCGACAGTGTACTAATACCCATTTTTATTATGCAACTATATTAAGTAAGGTACAAGTTGTGTGTGAATTGAGTACAGATATCCTGCAATATTTGGACAGTTGGTTAATTTGTACAGTAAAAGAACCTGTTCAACTGGTCATCTGAGCTTGTTACTCTTCTGTATCTGCTCAGCTTTTTTAGCTGCCATATGAGAAATGCACATAAAATTTAGCAGTTGATAATAAATAACTTATTAGATGTTTTGGTGTGTAGTATCATTGAGCATTTTTACTCCCTATTTGGATTTTGGCTCTCCCTACATGGTTGTCAAATTACAGCACAACTTGTAAAAATCCTCATTGATACTGTACACTAAAATGTTTGATAAGATATAGAAGTCTTGATCCTAGTTGTTTGAAGTATGGAGAAGGCTGTCTGGTAGATAGCACAGTACGTTTTGTTTGCATTTATCTACTGGATAGTGAGTTATCCTTTTGATAGCATTATCTGCTCTTTGAACAAGTGAGCCTTGGGAGAGTGGGGTCACTGTGAGTTTTAAGTATCATGCCTACAGTTAGTCAACTCTTGGCTGACACTATTAAGCTACCATGTCCCCCACATACTTCTTTAAGAATTCTCTAGCTGCCTGCTATACAATTTTTAGGATGTTAGTTGTAAGAATTCAGTATTCGATCAACTAATGATCCCGCAACTTATATAATTAGTTCTTATTAACCAAGCGGGAGG